GCCTGCTCCATTATCAAATAAAGTCTGCTTAGGACAAACTGTGTATGCCCAGATCTTTCTTCAATTAAATGATTGATAGGAGTAATTCCGCTCCATTGAGACACTATAGGTCTATTTAATCTAAGTGTAATTTGGTCATACCTTTCTAAAGGTCTATCCATATCTGTTGATGAACCCCACCCCTGGCACTCCCACACTCCATCCCTTAACACACAGTCACAGTTATTTAAAGGCAGGTAGGTATACACAGAGATGGGAAAACACACACAGGCTCACACTGTCACAAACAAGCACACATATGCAGGTAGGCACACACAGATAGGCATACACAGACACAGACAAGGTACACACAGGAACCCACAGACACAGAAAGGCATACACAAATATAGACAGACATACAAAGACAGGTATGCATAGACAGGCGCACACTTTAGCCTTCCCTCTAGAATGTAACTCATTTGAGCAGTGCCCTCAAACCTCTTTTCTTGTGCGTCCAACTCGTCTGGTTATAAATACTTGTCTGTTAGTCAGTGCTGCAGAATTTGTTGGCACTTTATAAATAATTATAATACATACATAAACAATTACTGCTATTGCATCATAAGGTGTACTTAGTTTTTCACACATGGCTGCTCCATTAATTAATTTTGTTAAATAAATCATGACGGTGTAATATGTCATGTTAAGGAACAGATGATTGTTATTATGTCCTGATGTGCAAAAGCATAGCATTCAAAGAGGGTGTATTTTCTTTTTCCAATGACTTAAAAGGGATACTGGCTCCAGTACCTTGAAGGTTGTTGTCATGCTGGGCAGGTGTGACTGCACCTGAGCCCAGAGCACTAGGGGGGGCCCACCACAGGGCGGGAGTTCCACCACTGATCCATGCTGCTGCTTGCTTGATGGGCCCCCCGAGACGGGGCTTCAGTGGTGCACAGAAGTGGGTAGTCGGTCATGGGGCCCCTACCTCCTTCCCTGAAGAATTGAGTCATAGAAGCCTGTGTCCCCTTGTGGCCACAGGGGGCACTGTGCTGGGAGGAAGTGATTAAAGGGACACTATAGTCACCTGAACAACTACAGCTTAATGTATTTGTTTAGGTGAGATCTATAGCTCCCTGCAGGAAGTCTAATGTAAACACTGTATTTTCATAGAAAATACAGTGTTTACATTGATTGATAGGAATACCTCCAGTGGCCGTCACTCAGACGGCCACCAGAGGGACTTCCTATTATGTAGGGCCCTAAAAAGGCCTTGTACATGTCAGACGTATTAAAATACGTCTGACGTGTGCAGGAGAGAGAAGGCACTGTGCGCGCCTTCTCTCTCCAGCCTGTCAGCAGAGGAGTGGGGACGGGCAAAGACCGCGAGTTATATGCACTACCTAAATTGCAAGCCTCATTAATTTGCATATGCAGGTAGATTTGCATATTATGGTTTATGCAGGCATGGAATTTATTTCTTGTTAGTGTTTATCTTCCCCACCATTTTATAAATATTTTATTGTTAAGGGATTGCCTGTATGATACCCTATCTAATTATGGTTTTTGTGTTGTATTGAGTGTATCACCATACTTAGAATGTAATGTAGACATAGGCTAGTCCTGGTTGGAAATAAAGTACTGTGTTGTAGTTCCATTAGGAACTGGCTTGTTCTTGCAATTATTCCAGTAGCATGACTTTAAGACCTGCTTACTGGCTGCACTATTCACTGTTACTGGGGATCTTTAATGAGGACATTTTCCCTGCGTTTAGTGTTCCTTCCTGGAGAGGCTTGTAACAGCATCTTTGGAACTGTCATCATTTAGCTAATCACCATGAGCCACAAACGCCACGGCATCCGGATATATCAAGGCGATGGGGACGATACCTTACTAAAAGATGGTAGACAGGCAGAAAGGTTAATACCTGCCTGGGAGAAGGATAACAGACAGAGATGTCGATAACTGCATCAGTGTGAGTTTCTACCCAGGTTGGCTGGCAGCACAAAGGCAGAGGGGACAATACCTGGCTCCTGCTGAATGCAGTGGATTCTGTGCTTGTGTTGGCAACAATCCACTATCTCTTCCCACTTACTGCCCCTTCAGTCTCACTTCACAGAGATTCCTCTACTGAGACCAGAATCCTGGAGGAGATATAGTCTCAGACTTCTACACATTACATCTGGGGGGAGAGGCTTCTCCAGAGGTCCATATCATCACACACAAAATATAATAGAGTGTAATTTTCCCTGTATCTGTCACTGCACTACTTCCACTCCTGTCCAATTCCTATCTAAGGATAATGGGCAGACAAAACATTTTGGGACTATAGGGCTTCTCATCTAGGACTAGAATTCCTGTGGCCTCCAAGCAATGTGAGTGTGAAAAGGTGCCTTTTCAATAACAACCGTTAGTGGACATAAATAAACATAAAATATAAAATAGTGCTTGCAGTGTGGCATTCTCTATCTGAATTCATATTTTGATCAGGGGTGTAACACCATTCTACAAAGCACTATTCTGGGCACCATTATTGAAAACATATAAACATGCCACACCCATATAATATGAGATGGGTGTCGGTTGGTCAAATCCAACTGTATGTTTTCCACAGAGTAAGCAGGTCCCTTCCCAATTTGTAAAATTAACTTTACTAAATCTGACATATTGAACCCTGAAGTATTCCCAAGTGAGAGAGTTCTAATGATAAGAGAGACATCCCTTCATTAAGTACCGGGGTATAAATCTTTTCTCAAACTCTTTTGTCAAGTTGATTTTTTTTTTTTTTTTTAATACATTTTTATTGAAATATTGCATGCATTGACATTAGATGGTGTGTTATAAGTTACAGTAAGTGACCTTATGTAGTACATCATAAGATACAGTACATAAACAAACTAAGCAAGATCTGGAATATACTGTAGCAGTTCCAGGTGATAAATAGGCATAAATGTAAGAATTAAACACAGAAAGAAATAATAATAATAATGGTATATAATGGGTAGCTACCAAATCCTCAAAGGTAGAACAGAATTGTGTACAGTGATGGTTATATAGTATTGTATTCTGTACATCCAGACAGTGGGGAATAGGTTTGTGCTGATTCCTGCGCCACAGCTAGTCGGAATTTGGTTGTGTGCATCAGGTTGGTGACATCTCCTACAATGTGGTCGTGTGATATTTATGTAAGTTTTCTGGGGTGCACTGCCAACGGGTTAGACGTTTGTAGTTGCTGTCTTGAGTGGCAAGATTAGTGGCGGATTTATGTGTCTGAAGGAATATTTTTTTCCACTGGGCTGGGGACATGGAAATTGGCAATTCACCAGTCCATTTATCGGTGAAGGATGGAGCAGCTTGTATGTTGGCATTCTGCAGGAGAGGAAAAGAGTTTCTTTTGCAGAGGGTGAGAGGAGCAAAGCTGTTTAAATGTTGTCATATCCCTATGTCCTGTTGGTAGGAGATTAGCGCAGTGGACCAGTTGGTTGTACTGGAAGTGTTGTAGACCAGTGGGATCAGGGGTGTTGAGTATCACTGGTAGTGGTTTGATTCCTTGTTCACTTAAGATTGAGTGCAGTGTGAGAACCTCTGTATTGTGGTAGTTTCTGTAGGTCTTACCCGACTCTTCTTCTCTAAAGAGTGGGTATTGCATGAGTGGTTATAGTGGTGAGGGTTTGCCAAAGTAATTTTATCTCAGGAAAGGGACAAAGAGAAAGCTTGGTTAATCAGAATAAAGCAAATTGTCAGGAAATTGTATTCCAACTCTATGGAGATAAAAAAAAAAAAAAAAAAGGCAAACAATGCTGCCATTTTAAAATCCCCATAGGGCTGGGATGCCATAGTCATTTACACCAGATGATTCAAAACAAACACACAAAAAATCAGTGGCATTCTTCTATTGTGTCAGTGTGTTTGGTTGGAAGGGGGGCGGGGCAGAAAACTGTGTTGTTTCCTTCTTTCTCCCAAAAGGCAAAACCTAACAGGGTTATTTACTATGTGAGAATTCAAGTAAGTCTTGGTTTTGGGGAGAACTAAAGTTTAATGAATTCAAGTAAATGTTTTGTTTAAGCCCAGACTAGTGCTGTAAGGCTTAGCTCATTGGCTTAAAGTGATCAGCTGATGCTCTCAGTCTCCCTTGCAGCTCAGGAGAGACAAACAAAAACTTCTAAGTGGAGACAGTGATTAGGTTTTTATCCGTGACACCAGGATAAAGAAGTGTGAATTTCTACATTTAATTCAATTCCTCACACCCCACAAGTTCATATTTGTAAAATATAAGCATAAGTAAACATAATATTTAAAATCATGGAAAGTGAAAGTGCTCCTTTAACTGTGATGTAAGTATTATGCAAAATGAATTAATTATTATTAGGCATGTTAACAATTAACTGGCTTGGAAAATCTTGCCCAACATTGTGACAGTACAGAAAATACAACAAAAGTTAAAATTAAACTCAGTTGTAATTGTGTCGTAAGTAGGGGAAATAAATGTCTGGTTACCTTTTATTGTGTGTGCAGCCATTCAATTGACGTTTGACTTTTTTCTTAGGTTTCTGAACACAAAGTAACAGAGTGTGCCTGGCTATGCCTATAAGTTCGTAATCAATATTCTATTCCACCTCTTTCCCAACAGATGAAAAGAATGATGATATCTTCCAGGCACTTTGAAACATTCTGACCTAACGAAACACTTTGTTGCATTGCTTAGAAGAAAACATTGCCAAATTGAAGATGTCAATCAAGTAGTTTTAGTTGAATTTATACAACGCAAATAATTCACTAAAGTGTGAATTGTCAGGAATTCATTCAAAGTGAATTAAACGAACACTATAGGGTCAGGAACAGTGGCGTACATACCGGGGTCGCCCTGCGACCCAGTATGTACCCAGTGTGGCCAGCCTCTTCTCCTGGGGGGCCCAGGAGCAGGCCACCTCAGGGCCCCCCCGAGGCTGGCCCTGGTGTCACCCGGCAGGCAGTCCAGTGGGGCTGTCCGGCGGCCGGTCACCCAGCGGGCTGGCTGGCAGGTGCGCGAGGGAGCACTCTCCCCTGAGTGCTCCCTCTTCAGCTCCCTTGCGCGCCGCGTATTGATGCCGGAGCCGGAAGATGACGTCATCTTCTGGCTCCGATATCAGTACGGTGCGCGAGGGAGCTGAAGAGGGAGCACTCGGGGGAGAGTGCTCCGTCGCCAGCCTGCCCGCCGGGTGACCGGCCGCCGGGCAGCCCCACTGGACTGCCCGGCGGCCGGTCACTGGGCGGGCTGGCTGGCAGGCGCGCGAGAGAGCACTCTCCCCTGAGTGCTCCCTCTTCAGCTCCCTTGCGCGCCGCGTATTGATGCCGGGGCCGGAAGATGACGCCATCTTCTGGCTCCGGTATCAGTGCGGTGCGCAAGGGAGCTGAAGAGGGAGCACTCTCCCCAAGTTTTTGCTCAGTATGTACCCAGTGTGGCCAGCCTCTTCTCCTGGGGTGCCCAGGAGCAGGCCACCTCAGGCCCCCCCCGAGGCTGGCCCTGGTGTCACCCGGCGGGCAGTCCAGTGGGGCTGTCCGGCGGCCGGTCACCCAGCGGGCTGGCTGGCAGGCGCGCGAGGGAGCACTCTCCCCTGAGTGCTCCCTCTTCAGCTCCCTTGCGCACCGCGTATTGATGCCGGAGCCGGAAGATGACGTCATCTTCTGGCTCCGGTATCAGTGCGGTGCGCAAGGGAGCTGAAGAGGGAGCACTCTCCCCAAGTTTTTGCTCAGCAAAATTTGCTCAGAAAGAGCTCCCGCATCTGGCAACAAATATCAATGCTTATCCCCTGGCTATCTGCACTCATTGACAGCAGCCTCCACTAATCCTACCCGGGAGTCGTTGCTGTACCCGACTACGTCTACGATGCTAACCCACTCAAGGCTCGCGGTCTACACAAGGCTGAACCACAGAGAGGTGGCAGCTCATCTGGTTCTTAAGCTGTAGCTGGGACTCCTGTGAATTGCCCCCCCCCCCTTTGGACCGGTGGGGGTTATCCTGGTCCTCACCGATCAGCTCCACTCACTTTGCCAGGAGAGTCAACAGTGGAGTACAGGCAGCGGGGCACGTGAGTCCATTTCAAGCATATGGAATAAGGTGGCACTCAGAGAACCACAAGCTGATGAGCCAAAAGTGAGTGTTTCACCCAGAGTGTCACAGCTGCGATGCTAGAGCAGTTCAGCGGCCCTCATAGTGCAGAGAGCAAGAAAATGGCGGCGGAACAAGCAGAAGCTTCTGCATGACCAGGCCCGTTCCCAACTAAAGGTGGAGGCATCTGGAGGCTACTTGACCTGCGGCCTTCTATCTGCAGCCGCATGACACCCATAACCCATAATGGGTGCCACATTACGGGTACATGAGGTCCCTCAACTTGGCGCAAGACTGTGCTCTGCTTCTTGAGGGTATAGGCTGAGTGGGAGTGAGTGGTGGGAATATCTGGGACTCAGGATAGCTAGTTTTCTCACATCTGTGTATCATTTTGTGCTAGCAACTGAAAGCTACATGTCCTAGATTTTTGCATCCCAGAAAACTATTTATTTTTGTCTAATAGAGTTTTCATTTGTGGATTTGCTGATTTCCATTTTATACCCTCCACTCAGAGTGTCCGTAGCTACCATGATGAGGGGGCTCACTGGGAGGATAAAGCTGCAAGTCTCGACATTTCATGTCTTGCTTTTCTATAGTGCGCACATAGTGGAAATGTCTCCTTTAAGCATATTCTCTTAATCTCTGATGTTTCTTCATGTCAATATGTTTAACTAGACTTAGTCCAGTATATACAAAAAAAAAAGGCTGCAGGTGAAAGGGTCGAAATCGCCCAAGAAGTAACAACTATTCTGTGATGTATCCATCTATTTCTGTTCGTGAGCATCAGCTTGTGGCCACTTTCCATGTCTTTCCGTGTGGTATGTGCTTTCATATCTTTTACAATGTCCCCTGACAAATTAAATAAATGAGCAGTATTTGTGACCTCTGCAGCTGTAATTCTGGCACTGATTATTTGGACTCTATGCAAGTCTATTAGTCGGCATCATTGAATAGAATAGCATAGCACCCTTAATCACCCACAGATGCATTATTTGCCTTCTGGTAATAAAAATAAAATGTGGATGCACTTTGAATTACCAAAAATTTAATAATAATGACATGATACTGTGCAAGGAAAGTTACTTGATACAGTCAGCTGTCTGCGTGACACACATAATACGCAACTTCAGTTCCACACAACTATATAACAACTATATAACAAGAATCATTTGAATTATACTTTTGCTATAAACTAGTATTTTGCACCCCTACTATATATGTTGCACTCTTTTAATACTATAAATCAGATGTACAGGACAGTAATTAAAGTGCATGATGGTCACAGTGGATATTTTGATGTTCTATGTAGAAAATATGTTTTGGCTAATAAAATTAGAAAAATGAAGGAATGCAAGAATATGTTTTACATAAATGTGCAGTTCTCTTGTGTGCCACTGGGGCTCCTTACTTGCTCTCCAGCCATTGTCTCTCCCCTCCCCCCCCAAATAATATGTATTTATATTATTTCCCTGTGATGTGCACTTGCAAAAGGACAAAGTACTAATTATGTTGGACGTGGTGTGATAAGCATTGTTACCCTACAAACTTTAATTGTTACTATTTTTCTTTATCTTGAAATGGCTCTATCCTTTTAGTGTTCGTTACTTTCCTCCTAAGTGTATTTTGGATCCTGTTATCTGTTTTTTTAAATTATTATTAAAGGAACCATATAACAACTCAAATTCATGTAAGTTGTTATGGGGCGGAAGATTGTTTTACGTCCAGGAGTTAAACCATTTTGCAGTGATGTTACCCAGAAGTTTGGGCTCTGGCACCTGACACCTCTGCCTACTGGTTTCCTTCCCATCTACACTGCAGCCAGTTATAGACTGAGTATGTCAGCTGATGCTCTCAGCCTTTTACTGAGCTTGTATCGAGTGAAATAGTATTGTTCATAATGTTTGATCAATGGTCCTTACCTTCATTTTAATCGAACTTAAACTCACATTTGCCCTGATTTTAATTTTTTTATATGCATACAAATCCAAGTACTTGGTTACATAATAACTACTGTAAAAGTGCTGCCACTTTGAAAATTATTCTTCAGGATAAATCGAAACTTTGATTACATTGATTATTTTGATTCCATTTTTCTTTATTACCGTATCCAGGTTTCATGCAAGTTATCTGCTTTACTGATGATTTTCAATGTCTAGTAGTCAAGTCACGTTACCTGTTAGTTCTGTACGAAAACCAGACCTGCATCGTTTAATTATTCTCCTACTAGTAGTAGTAACATCTTCTCAAGTATCATTCTTGCATTAACACATCTGTATATTCTGGTGTTGATAGATTGATGCAGGATAATGAGTTTGCAACCTGTGCCCATATATACCTACCTCTCCTTGGTATATTTGCCTTTTCATATACTCAGCTACTTGTTAACACATACTTATTTTACGGTTTTGAATTCTAGTTTAAGACAACTTTGTTTATCACATATCCTATCTACTACTCATGATTAGAGATGTCGCGAACTGTCCGCCGAACTGTTCGCGAACTGTCCGCCGGCGAACAATAGCGTGTTCGCGTTGGGCGAACATATCCGATTTCCGGTCCGCCCCCTATACGTCATCATTGAGTAAACTTTGACCCGGAACCTCACAGCCAGCAGACACATTCCACCCAATCAGCAGCAGACCCTCCCTCCCAGGAAGTGTCTGCTGACTGTGAGGTTCCGGGTCAAAGTTTACTCAATGATGACGTATAGGGGGCAGACCGGAAATCGGATATGTTCGCCCAACGCGAACACGCTATTGTTCGCCGGCGGACAGTTCGCGAACAGTTAGGCGGACAGTTCGCGACATCTCTACTCATGATTAGTGTTTTTCTGATTTCTATAATCTACACATTTCTTATCAACTCCTCTATAGCAATGTTTTCTACCAATTCCTTATAAGTGTATATAAACAGGTTTGGCTATCACTTTCCATGTTCATTATTCATCACAAGTTAATTGTCAATGTCTTATTGTTGTATGGTTTCCTCAAACATACTTCAATTAAAATAAAATAAAATAAAATGTAAGCACAGAAAAACTCGGAGTCAAAACTTTACATAACTTTATAACTGATTTCCTTTTTCCATTTTAACAAGAGACAAATACTTCCATTTAGCCTTTTCATATAAATTATGCAATTCACATTATTTCCAATGCATTATTCCCCTTAGGGTTTAAAGGTGGAAGAACTGCTTGATTGCCAACTTGGAAATAATAGTTTCACATTTAATTGGATAGTTTCCATTCAATGTCCTGAAGGTGTAGAGAATAAAAGTACAATGTGCTGCACATTGCTGGATATGTTGAAATACAAAATACATTGCACATTGGGATACAGGCCAGTTGTATACTCCAAGAAGGTTATTCACTAGGAGACATTTTAAATTAGATGGAAAATAATTAAAATGCCTGTTTTTTTCCATTGAAAGTTGATTTGTAACCCCATCAATTCTATGTATCCTGCATATGTAAAGTTTTTTTTAAACTTTTACCCATGTTCGTAGGGATTTGGGGTGTATGCTTTTAAAGTGTGCTAACTTCACCTCTACCTTCTAGGCCAGGGATAGTCTACCTTTGGCACTTCAGATATTGTGGACTAAATTTCCTATAATGCTCTTATAGCAAAAATGCTGGCAATGCATCATGGGAACTGTGGTGCCTGGAGTGCTGAAAGTTGCTATCATGATGATGCCGTGCGATCATTGAAGTGTTGTCTCTTCTGTGTTTTCCTAAACACACCCACTCATCTCTAGCTTCCTGGTGCCTCATTTTGACATCATATATGACATGAAAGCGTTCCATTGGTCTGATTTTATATTGTCAGTCTATGTGATACTTTATGATGGCATATTACCAATCACAACAAAGTAGAGTTGTTATTGGAGGTGGAGACCCTATAATTAACCCTGAAGTTGTGTCCCTGGACGCTCATCCATACTGTCTTTTCTCTCCTCCTTACAGCTTCCACACTGATCAGGAAGGATTGCTTGGGCACCAGTGACAAACTGAGACCATCAGCCAATGCTACCAGCCTATTACTGTAGTTGCTAAAACATTTTCCCTGTGTCTGGCTGAAAAAATGTCACTTAGAAAATATAA